GCTTAGGCTTCTATTGCTGTGATAAAGACCATGACCATGACCGTGGGGAGGAGAGGGTTTATTTGGCTTCCTGATCACAGTCCATCATGAATGGAAGCCAGGGCAGCAACTCAAGGCAGCAAACTAGAAGCAAGAATTGAAGCAGAATCCATGGAGGAAGACTGCTTACTGTCTTGCTCCCCTTGGCTTCTTCAGCTTGCTTATTATACACCCCAAGACCACTTGCCCATGGATGATACCACCCACAGTTAGCTGGACCCTCCCACACCAATCAATAATCAGCTCTACAGAGTTGCCGATGGGTCAGTGTGATAGGCATTTTTTCAATTCAGGCTCCCTCTTCTCAGACAATGGAGCTTGTGTCTAAAAACCTACCTACACTCTCCCTGTGTAGCTGAAAATGGCCTTGAACTCCAGATTCTCTTTCCTCCACCTACTAATCTGAATCACAGATGTGAACTACTGTGCCTGGCCTTTAAAAACTTTCTACATTATAGCCTCTCCGAGGTCAGCCTGGTCTACAGAGTGAGTTCCGGGACAGCCAGGGCTGTTACACAGAGAAACCCTGTCTCAAAAAACAAAAACAAAAACAAGACAACAATAACAACAAAACAAAACAAAAAACAACACCCCTCCAAAAAAACAACAACAAAAATTTTCTACATTGTAAACTCATTGGTACATTGTACTAAAAGTTAGGTGATCCTCTCAGTGTTCAGTTTTTTTTTTTTTTAATTTTCTTTTTTGAAAATAGGACACATAGAATTTTTTTTTTCAGTTAGGAAAAATAAATGTGAAAACATTCACACAAGCTTGCATGTATTTAATATTTATTTCCCTCTCTATGATGATGACCACCTTGTAGGAGAAATGCAGAAATCCACTTCCATGGCTCCTGAGAGGTTGACATGAATCCTAGGACTCCCTGCCCCAAGTTCCTGCTAATGTGAACTCTCCAGAAACACTGGCGATATTTTTAAAATCTCTCCTTCCTGGACCTCATTTGCCTCCAACAGGAACTTAGCAACTCGAAGTGCTAGAAACCTGGCTTCAGGATGCAGACCCCAGAATTTCGTTTCTCGGATATCAGCTTCAGGCTCTATGTCCAAGGGCGACCCCTGTTGGTGGGATTTAAATTCGCTCTTTTCCCCTACATGAGCTTTTCAGGCTATGGGGATTTATCTGAGGCTCACCATTTTGCTTGTCGGCTAGAATTCTTGAGATCTATAGGCGGCTCACCCAGCCTCACCATGCTTCTCATTTCTAACTGTTTTCTTGGTCCCTTGTTAGTCTCAGGAAGCCAGGACTAGAGGCTTGGAGAATGAAGCTACAGGTGTGGCCAGCCCTTCCAGCTTCACACAGACATGTAGAGAGTGTCGTAGCTCTGGTGGTGGTCAGTAGGTGAAGTGAGGTGACCTTTGTTTTAAGGGACAGATATGGAATATGGCTGGCGGGCTGATGAAAAACGGCCAGATCCAGGCAGTTTGTGGAGCAGAAGGCAGGCAGGATGTCACAACACACAGGATGAGGTCTGGGGGCTGCATATCTCAGGAAGGTGGTGGGAACCCATCACAGGGTGTGGAGGCTGGGCGGGACTCCATACCCCCAGCCAAGACAACCACTCTTCTCTGGGGAGGTGGGGGGGTGAATCCTGGCAAGAACTAGAAAGCTAACAGTTCATTTTGTAGCTAGCCTCCATCTCTGCATTTATAAGTGCTTGAATTTAGAGAAGTGTGGCTAGGAAATCCATCAGGTTCATATTGCTGGTATTCACCCAAAAAGAATTACCCATCATATCCTGTCTGTCACAGAGGACCGAGTAGAAGTGATGAGTGGATATGGCTGGATAGTCTGGTTTTAGACATACAGAGCCTGTCTGTAATTCATCAGCATTTTTCCACACCCCAGGCATTGGCCAATGAGAAAGAAAACTAGATACCAGAGGAATGAGCTGGGCACTTTGGATCTTGGAGAAAGCATGACAAAGCACTTCCCAGAGCCCATCCCTTAAGCAGGAGACAACTCTTCATCTCTCAGAGGCCTGTGGAAATGAGCTCTTCTCTTGCTTTGCAGCCTCAGGTCTGTGCTACACTGGCTGAAAAAAGAGGAGTCTCACACATGGCTCCGGAGAGGCTGACCCAAACATACTTTTCTCCACTGGGCACCATGTTCAGATACCCAGCCCACGCCCTAGTGTTTGTGGGCCTGGGGAATGGGTTCCTTAAGAAAAGGACGCAGTGGATCCTCACAAAGTGAGGACTGGATGGGCACTTTACAAGGGGGTAGGTTCCAGTTCTCTTCTGCTGGAAAGGAAGCCGCCACAGAACCCAGCTCCTGGTGTACTTGGATGTCAAGGACAGGCACAGCTTTGTTTCCAGCTTTCTAGGAAAGGTTTGGAGACGTGCTCCTGTGGTTCCAACAAGTGCCCCAGGCCTTCTGCCCAGAGGACCTAGACAAAGACTTCCAAAGTCTCTACCATAGACTGGCCCCAAGGCCCAGACTTAGATTCCCCAAACTGGTGAGCTCTGCCTAGAGAGAAGCCCCTCTTGCATAACGGTGCCAGGTGCTCGCAGGACCCTGGCAGGCAGGAAGAAAGAAATGTATATTTGGAGACTCCCGTTAACCAGAGGAGGGAGCTGAGTAACGAATTCCCAAAGGGGGACAGGATGCACAATTGCAATCAAAGCCCTCATCTTAGAATTAAAATGAAGCGGAAAGAAAACCCTCCACAACACCTTCTGTTTCTTGCTGGGCTCAGAGTGGTTAAGTAGCCGGTGCTCCGGGCACCGAGGAGATACCACACTCTGTATGGGCTGATTCCTGTGGCAGGGAATAGCTCACCGGTGGTACCTTCTTGTTTTGACCCCTGAGAACACTGGCCAGTGCGGACAAGAGGTTCCGCGTCCCACCACCCTACATGCAGGATAGCAAGCACTAGCTATTAATTAGTACCTATACTCTCCAGTCTCACTGAAATCCTCTCCCCGGGCTCAAGGAAGCCGGTTGGTGATGCTCCTTGTCCATGAACGAGTAACTAGCATGTGCAGAAAACTGGCACGTGTGACGTCACTCTACCTTCCTTCTTTCTGGGATGCACATGGGTATGCATGTCTCAGGGCAGAGGTCAAGCTGCCTGGGGTGTCCGCCCCCAGGAGCTGCCCATCTTGTTTATTTGTGTTTTGAGACGAGGTGTCCCTCCTTCACCTTGAACTTGCAGAGTAGGCTAGGTTGGCTGGCCAGCAAGCCCCTGTCTCTACCTCCTCAGAGCTGGGATTACAAACCAGGGCCATCACCCAAGGTCTTTTAACATTGATTCTGGAGATTGAACTCTGGTTTTCAAGTCTGTAAGCACTTTAGTGACTGAGCCACCTCCCTAGTCAATGAGCGCTCTGACAGCAAAAGGATACATCTTCCTCTCCAAGGGACCTCCAGACCTACCCAGGCGACTCTGGATTCTGTTGCTATGTCCGCTTACAAAAAGGAGGGGGGTTTGAAATCTAACAGTTCGAATGTAGAGTGGTGGTGACTCTGTGAAAGTCACAGGCCTTCCTTCTCTCTCGCCTGCCGGTCCCCTGTCCCCCGGGGAGGCCACTGGGTGCAAAGCGCGCTTCCACCGCTACAACCCTCGGAGGTCGGCCGCGCTCGTCCTGGGCTCCAGCGCCCTCACCTGGTGGCGCGGCTTGTCCCAGCCGCGGCTCTCCGGCTTGGGTCTGCGGCTTCCCGAGCTGCCGCCAGAGCCCGCCCGGGTCCGGCCCCCACAGGCCGCCCACCTCGGTGAGTGGGAGGACGCTGCCCCGAGACGGGGAGGGGGGCCGGGGGGGGGGTGCTGGATGAGTGCGGGCGCCGGGGGCTCCAGGAGGAGGAGCCAGCCCCGGAAGGCGGCTATAAAAAGCGGCGGCTCAGGCTGGCAGCTCCGAGCTAGCTAGTAAGCCAGCAAGCGCGGAGCCGAGAGAGGAGCGCCTGGGGCGCAGAGTGGCAGTGGTCTGGTGCTGGGGGCTCACTGAGCTGAGTGAGGCTCGGATCTGCACCCCACTTCCCGCGCGCTCTCGTCCAGTTGTCTCTCGCTCGGGAGCTCGACGCGGGGGATCAGATATCATACTCCGGGATGCTGCACTCCAGGTCCCCGAGGCGTGGCACTGTCTCGGTCATCAACCGGAGGTAAGAGGACCGCGGAGGTAAGAGGACCCGGGCTGGGGCGCGAGGGCTGCATGGATTTAGTCTTGGAGGGGAGAGGACAGCCGGAATCCAGCGCCTCGCCTCGGTTTAGGGAAAACATTGCCCTCCGTCGGCCTTCTTGTCCAGCTGTTCTGTGCTGTCTGCCTCTGTCTGTCTGTCCGCCTGCCTGCTTGTCTATCTGTCTGCTCGTCTGCCCATGTGTCTCTGTCTGCCTGCCTGCTTGTCTGTCTCTCCGCGAGTGTATTGGTGGGCACAAGCCCCCGTCACCGTCCTCCGTGGTCGTCTCTGAGGTCTTTACAAGCGGCAGGTGTTGGGGACACCAACGTCCAGGAACGCTTTCGACGGGAGGCAGATCTCTGCTTTGCTTAGGTTGTCCTCCTGTGAATGGCACTAAGATGCTCACACAAATAACAGTGTTTCGCCGAAGAGGAATGGCCCCGAAGCAGGTCTCAGAAGGAGCTCAGTACAGTGAGCGAGCTTACCCTGTGGCTAGTGGTCGCGAGCCTCACAAGTCTGCACCTTGTCGCTTCCGCGTTTGGCAAGGTCTTCTGGGTTCCCTCATCAGCCCCTGCTGTCCCAGCGATGCGCTGGCACGGGGCGAGCGGAGATGATCTGATGTTAGACGACTCGATGGTCCCTGCTGATATTGAAGCAAACACCAAGCCTGGCAGCACTGCAGGAATGTTTGTTGGCCCCTCGCAACGGACGTCACCTGCAAGAAGGGTCTCGCTAGATTGACAGGAAAACAAAGGTCTCATCAGGGCACAAGAGTCGTACACGGTTCTCCAGTTCTCCTCTCTGGGAATGAGGTCCGGGGAGATTTCGGAATGGACCCGGGAGAAGGCGTGTGTTCTTGACAAGAGGGGCGGTGCATCCTTGTTCCCCAAGAGTTGGACATTCCGCCCGCGCCCCGTCTGAAGTTCTCAGTACTGCTCCGACCAGCCAACTCTGCCCACAGGTAAGAACTCCCTTTTAAAGCCAAGTTTTGATGTGAGAGCCACGGCCTGGCTGAAGCCCTGTCCAGGAGACAGTGAGCCAGGAAGTCGTCTCCATGTCAGTGGTGTGGAGAGGGACCCCAGGCGCGCCCGCGGGCGGGAACGGGAGGCTCTGCGTGCCCAGGCGCGGAGCCACCATGGACAGCTCCCAGCTACTTCCGCCACTCGGGGCCTGTGGCCGTGAGTCTGGAGCAAGCAGGCGCCTCCTTCCGATTCAGGTGTTGAGACACTGGGAAGGTAGAAAGGGACTAAAAGACCTGTGGAACTAGGTGTTCATTTTGGAGGCACTAACCACTCAGGAGGGAGTCTACCCTGCCAGGGGCTGTGGTTTTCTACCAGGTCCCTGCAGAGCTTGCATTCTGTGTAGCCTGTTAATGCCACTTGAGTTTTATGTAGCCCTGTGGAGATCCCTCAGAGGTGTGGCAGGTGTGCAACCTTTGTTACGTGATCCAGACAGTGAGATAAAGCATATATAATTAGGTATAGAACTAAACTGCTTTCAGTGTAGGACATAAGGTCATGTTGTTGTTTTTTTTAAAAAACAATTTAATAAATATGGTAATGAATCAGTATTTTAGCTTCACAGTTTATGACAGAATGGAGAAGAAACCAAGTAAGACAAAATTACAAGGAAGTGTCTGAGTGGGTGTGCAAAACCAGCTACACTCTTTTGGATCCTAACAGAGCCTTCTAGAGAAGGGCTCTGGAGGCAGCTTCTAAGGGCTCCGCTTATTCCGGTAGATGACGGTTCCAACTGATTGCTTGGGAATCGGGCAAGGGGTTGTTTCCTTCTTCTAGTAAGAAATGATGCTGGATGGGCTCTTCTTGTGAGTCCCACCTAGACCAGTGGTTCTCAACCTTCCCAAAGCTGTGACCCTTTTATACAGGTCCTCATGGTGTGCTGACCCCCAACCATACAATTGCTTTCTTTTGTTGCTGCTTCATAACTGTAATTTTGCTAGTGTTATAATTCATAATGTAAATATCTATGTTTTCTGATGGAATTCGGGGGTTGTGACTCAAGAGTTGAGAACCACTTACCTATACCAAAATACAGTAGTGTGTGTGTGTGTGTGTGTGTATGTGTGTTCCTTTATTTTAAAAATTACGAGAAATCAGAAGGTCTTTTCTGCTTGTGGCAGCAGCATATGTATAATAAATAATAAGAACAAGGGAAGGGGAAGGAGGAGAGAGAGAGAAATCTTTGACTTTGGGAAAGTCAACTAAACTGATGCCTGTTTCCTCATCTGTAAGTGGGGACAAGTGGACCCCACCAGTAAGTGGTCAGGGAAATTGCTGGTATACGGCAAAGCATTTAAGTCTAGTGCTGAGCAGAGAGAACTCCTAAAATGGTACGGTTACAGGTGCCTTTCAAAGTGCTATGCATTTTCTGAATTACGTTTCCCAGCCCCGTGTCCTCTTTCCTAACCCAGTAACTGGTTGGGAGTAACTCTGCCATTTTATTGTCACGTTTGACAACTCACTGAGGGAATTGAAGAAAGTGCTGAAGGAAGATAAGTGGAGGGATTTTTATGAGAGGCCAATCAGTTCCTTGCTTCTCCACCTGTACCACTTGGAGGAAGCATTTTCTTTTTAAAGAAGTCATTTTCAGCCCATCATTCCAGCACTTTGATCTAGATGATCGTTTCTTCCTGCACTTTTTCTCACACAATCTGCTAAGGAGCCCCACTGAGGCACAGCACCCCTGGGGTACAGGTATGGAGGGTCTCCAAGGCCTTCTTTCTAGGTAAAGTTCTGGTTACCTGTAGAAGAGAGACGCTGGCTTTGTCAGACCTCGAGTGGTCACGCCACACACCCTTTTACATGCTTGAGTTTTGCTGAGATGTGACAACCCGGTCAAGACACTTTGCTCACAATGTTTTGGTCCTCACTAGATTTGGAGGTCCCCTTAAGTTCTTCATTTTGGGGTTCTATCTGATAGAAACAACTAGCATATGACATGCCAAAGAAATGGATGATGGAGCGACAAGCACACAGTATTGTAGTCAGACCTCCCCCGGGAGTGTGCATGTACACGTGCCTATTCCTGCCAGTTTCACATTCTAGCGTGCTCAGATTTTCCTTCGTTCCCTCTCTCAGTAGATCAGAAGGAATCTTTGTTCCCTCCACTTGAAAGGAGTTCCCGAGCAGCCCACAGATGCTGGGAGTCTTTCTGTGACTTTCCTCTGCTGATGATGTGACTACATAAGAAGGATCTGGGTCTCCAACTCACCCTGAAGTCTGGGCTGTCTTCTGGGCACGACGGAGTCCAGTGTCCCTGCAGCTTCCAGGTAAGAAAATGACTGAACCATAGAACACTCCTGGGAGGCAAGGCCGGTGAGGGGAGGAAGAAAGGAACTCATTATTGGTTCTGTTGCATTCTGTCTGTCTGTGGCAGCTGTGTCTGAGTCTTTGGGGGCAGACCGATCTGTTGGCAAGGATGACATTTGGTGAGAAGGGCCAGTGGGATGGTAAGGCATCTCGAGTTACTCTTATTGGCTCCTTGGAAGCCTGTGGCATAAGTGACCCCTTTTAGTCCTGTGTGGTGTTGGCAGATCAGCACCATCACGCAGATTAAGTGCACTTTGCATTTTATCTGTAGCTCAAAAGGCCCATGCTTGCATGGAGCTTGGCTGCACAAAGGGAACAAAGTTATGTGTGTGAGCTTCATCCACAAGATTCCCCAACTGTGGCAGTCTGAGTGACATGTATCTTTGCGCATGGTGGCAAACACACAGATGTTTGATCTTAGCAGACTAATGTGGCAGCTGTCTTTTGTGGTTTTCATCGCTGTGATGGAAGCTCCAGTTTCCTTTGAATGGGGACTAGGAGGATCTTGCTCGCCTAACTTTGGTTGGGTTGGCAGCGGTTGGGAGTGGGCAGTGGGGACATGCTCAGGGCCATGTGTTTCTTCATGTTGCTTTGCCAGCTTCTCGGCATGGTCTTCACATCCCCCAAAGCCTTACACATGGGAACTGTGCAGATTTGGATAGGATGGCGCCTGTCATGGTGACTTTTTATTAGTTTCCACACCTTGCTGTCTAGCCACTCTCTTGGGACCATCCTGGCCTCTCTGGCAGGTTCCACAGTTTTCCCTTTATCTTCTGTCTGCCCTGGTGCCAGACTTTGTTCTAGCCTAGGTTTCTGGCAGGGAGGCTTCTTGCTGAGAATGTCATCAAATATACATTATACCGCTCCTCAGTTCCCTTGGTGCCAGGAAACACACTTACCCACCCAGAGGAGCTCCTTCTTACCCCTGTTATTTTCCAGGGTTTGTCCCTAGACTCTGATTGGCTCCTCTAGGTTCTGCTTGGCTCCAGGAAGCTAAAAGGGCTTTCTCTTCCAAGCCCTGCAAGGGAAGGATCCTTTGGAAGCCTAGGAAGGCTTTCCCTGCAAAGGCACCCACTCTGAGCAGGTATCTCTCTCTCTCCACCCTAGACTTCTTGCCTCGGGAACTTGTGAGGCATTTGTAAGGCATTTGCTCTGAATCTTCTGCAAGGGCAGTGAGACCATGGGATTAGTCACAACTTTAGAGTGCTTGAAACACTGCTTTGGAAAGAGCTATGCCCTTTTTCTCCATCTGTGAGGAACTAAGCCATCAGGCATTTTCTATTACAGGGAAGTCATGAACAGAGGCTGTTGGCTTTGCCACGCAGAGTGTCTATCCTGTTTCTAGGGACGAGAAGTCTGAAGGCTTCTTCAGCAGCCTACTACAAGCTACCCTGCCTTGAGCTGAGTGGTTTGTGCTATTGCCCGAGTCTTTATAGCTGTAGGGCATGGTGCTGAAGACATTCTAGTGAACATGAAGGAAGGACTCAGACTCCTTTTGATCAGGAAAGATGAAGGGCGCTGGAGCAACCCTTGGAAACTGGATAGAAGGTGATGATCATTGCCATTCTGCTCCTAACCTAGACTGGTTGTCAGATTTGGGGAAGGGTCCTTGGCTCTTCCAATTTTCTGCTTTCTTACACTAGAGGAGTTTCCTGAGCTTGAACATGTAAATAAGCTACAGTGAGGCTTGAGAGAGCACAACTCTGGCTTGGCAGATGAGGAGTGGATTTAGGAGGTCAGCATTTCTAACAAGTTCGTGGGGGGTGGAATGCTTCTGATTCTGAAACTCCCTTTGACATTCTGTGACTCAGACTAACTCAGTTTGGTGTCGTTTAAGTCAATTTCTGATGTTGAAGTAGATGGAGCCAAGCTGGCCCATGACCTCTTAGTGACCTTATAAAGACCCTTCAAATTCCCGGAGATAATTATGGTCATTCCTAAGCTGTCTTATCAGCAGACTAAATATCTTGAACCCCTTTTCCCTGTCATAATAAATTTCCCCAAATTCTCTGGACCCAGTCACTTTTAAGCACAAGATTATTGTGTAAATGGCAATTTATCTTTGCCTGGCAGAAGCATTTGAATGCAATTTTGGTGGCATTAAGAGATCATTTGAGGAATTCATCTAACTCTGGTTCCAGACAGTGAGAATGCATGTTTACATTTAAACAACTTTCCTGGACTCTAAAAGGTTTTTAAAAATGTGAGCATTAAATTTAAAGCCCCAATTGTCATCCTCAGTCCCCCCATTCTTGCAGTGTTCCTGCAAGAGTAGGGTGTCCACAACAGATGCATTTTGGGTACCGGAGATGCAGGTGCACTCTTCCACTCTGTCATCCACCACCACATCTGGAGACTGAAAACAGAGAAGTCTGTGTGGTGGGCCTTGAATTAATTTCTGGGGAGGTGGATTTGAGGACATGCTCCAAGATCTCTAGGAGTTAACAGTCTAGAGGAAGGACAGACCTCCAGGTCAGAAGTTGCTCCACAGAGTGAGGTGGACCAGGAAAGATGGCTCACAGGGAGGAGGTTAGGACTGAGCTGGGGGACCAGAGGAGCCATCGACTCAGCTGGAGGTGAAGCCAGGAAGCTTCATGGAAGTCTGGAAGGGTTAATAGGCATAGATAATAATGGGATTCTGAGAGGGAAGCTCTGAAACATTCCACAGAGAGAGAAGGGCACAGAGAAAGATCCAGAAGCACCAACAGTCCTAAATGGCTCACTTCTTGCAACGCTCAGGTGCATATCTGACTCAGTGACATAGGCCCCCCTGGCATGCCCAGACCTTGGGCTACATCATGGAGGGGAGCAAGTCTGTCAAACAGTGGCAGATCTTGGGGCCTTTTGTCTCCTGGACTAGAGGTTTAAAAAAGGACTTTAACTATAAAATGTTTTATTCCTATAAAATCTGACTAAATCCCATTCACAAACCAGGTTTTTTTTTTTTTTTTTTTTTTTTTTTTTTTTTTTTTAAAGTATCTATGGTGAGGAAGGGAGCAGTGTTTGTCTTGAGGCCCACAAGAGATTCCAAAGATCCCTCTGTGTTCCCAGGCACACAGTTGAAAAGCCTTTTTCCTAAGATTTTTGTGTTTTGCTCCAGGCAGCCATATTAATGGTGTTATCTTAGTTTCAGTACAGTCTATCTTGCTCTGTCTTTTAAATATTTTGATGTCTTGATGGTTTTTTTCTTAGGTGTGTGTATGTGTGTGTCATCAATTTTCAAAGAAATAAGGCCAGAGTCCTTTTGCATGTATTAACCTAAAGAATACAGAGGATGAGGGTTACTACTGGCAAAGACTCTCTGACAGAAAACTCCAGCTGAGCTCACCATGGGAGGAAGCAATACAGCTGTGAGCTATCTGCAAAAATAGGCTGTTTATTTTCAAACCTGTCAATCAGTCTTAAGCCTCCTAAGATTTTCATATGTTATAAAAGCCGGTAATGAAAAAAATTAGTTTATTTCCTGGATGTAAAATGTCAACACATTCTACAGAGGACCTTGGATCTCCTTTCATTAATGCAAGACAGCCCAATTCGAATGCAAAGTGCTTTTGAAGAAGGAGACCTAGAAGGGAGATAAGGCTGATAGGTGGGTATAGAAGACTTTGGCTAGCAAGGTAGTTCAAGTGCGGCTTTTGTGAGTCCCCTGCAAAACTCTCTTTTAAGGAGAAAATTGATACCCTGAGTGGGACACCATTTGAATAAAACCTGCCCTTCCCTGATGAGTGGTCCCAGTCATTTAAAGGGGATCAGGAAAGCCACTTCTGGGGTTGGTGCTAGCTCTTCCAGCATAACCATATCAACTATTTAAGATGGTGAAGACAAGTCTTGTTTAGTCCAGAGAACTTAGAAAACACTCACCCTTCAGAAGAACCTATTGGGTATGTGAGAAACCCAGGCACAGGCAAACAGCATGCTGGCACATAGGTTCTACCAGGATAGGCATCTGTGGTTGCCTAGGGTTCCTTCTGTTGATTGGCACTTTCAGGGAAGGCTGCAGAGAAAGGTGATTGTGACTCTACTCTCTGGGGAGCATCTGGCCTTCACCCCACATTGCCAGAGCAGCCGGAACCCTTCACGAAGACTGGCTCCCAAGGCACGGAGTCTTCGCCTTTCCCTCCTTCTTAGGTTTTTCCTTGGGCTATACTCAGGGTAGTTTCTGCATTGTCCTGGTGTCTCAGCAGAGGTGACCACAGACCCTGGTTCTCTCAGCCACATGGAACTGTCTGGGAGACTAGCTGACAAGCCTGAGTCCTCAATGACAGGGGTGTGGAGAGGCCACTGCTCGGCTGTAACTAAACTTTATCTCTTTTTCCCTCCATGTTCCCGAGGCAGGCATGCTATCTGCAGGTGGGATTTGAGGACACAGCTGTAGACCTGTGTGGTGTTTCTGCCCAGCTTTTAGCTCAAGGCATCACTCTCCTGCCTTCTTTATCAAAAAGTGTTTTTTTTTGTGTGTGTGTGCGTATGTGCGTGTACTTGTTTGCACATACATGTGGAGGCCAGAGGTGGATATCTTCCTCAGTCTTTCTCTGCGGTTTTGAGAAAACATTTCTCACTGACCCTAGAGCTCACAGCTTCAACTGTCAGCTGGTCAGTGAACTTTAGAGAGCCCCTTGTCCCTGTCACCCCAGAGCTGGGATTATAAACACATGCCATTCTTCCTGGAGACCAAATTCAGGCCCTCCTGCTTGTACAGCAAGCTTTTCACCGGCTGAGCCGTCGGCATGCTGTGCCTCCTGGAGAAGACACTTGTCGCACTGTCTGGTGGGACACTTGTTCCTGCCCTGTCTCACTGTGTGATGGGACACAGCTGTCCTCCCTCTAATGAACAGTAGAGATCAGCCCCCAAAGCTGAGCGCACAGAGAGCAAGCTTGAGTGGGGGAAAAAACAAAACAAAACCCGTTTTTAAACAAGCTGGTGGTTTGTGACAAGCACATTTCAAAGCTGGATTGCAGG